CAACTTATAAAATATTTTATTTTTATTAAAATCCCCAAAACTTCAATTAATTTTAATAAATCACAAAAAATTCAAAAAATTATGAAATTTTGGAAACATGACTGTCTGATCTAGAGCTAACTTACATAAAAATTTCAAGTGTTTAAGAGTTGTCTTGTTTATCGTTTGGAATTTTCTTTGAAGATGCATATTTTTGCATTAAAATAATTGTATGATTTAAATTAAATTGTGAAAATTCATATTTTCTCCTCTGATGTCTTAATTGACTTATCAGTAAGGTTATATAAAAATTTCAAAGTCATTTGACTTAAATTTGACAAATTATGAAAGTTTGGACCCTTAGGGGCAAAATTGTAATTTTGGATATTTTGGCCTTAATGAACAAGATACGTTAAATTTGGTTTAATCCAATAAAAGCGTTTGACAATTTATCTCATGATTTACGTCTGTTAGTTCAATTATGAATATAATATTACATACTAATGATAGAATCAATAAGACAAATTTAATTCAATGATTAATTAATTATTTTTACTAATATTAAGGATTAATTAATTATTTACTAAGTTTAATCGTAGTTATAAAAATTTATCAAACTAATTTAAAATTATTTAATACTTTAATATTCGTTAATTAATTGAAGCACTTAAAGTTTTAAATCTTTTCAAAATTAATACACACACTTAATACATTCAGGTCTTAAGGACTTAGTGGTGAACTTAAGTTGAAATCCACTTTGAAATCCGAACTTAAGTTGAAATCCACTTGTTAAAGAAGAATTAGAAAAATCAACATAATTAAACTCTTTTAAAACACCACAAGTCCAATTAGGACTAAAATTTGGCTAAATTTTCTTAATAACACTAATTTGTCTCCTAAGGAGTCTTCACCTACATAATTTTCAAATTAAAAGGTAAATGACATTTACCTTATTCTTGGGATAATCAAGACATCAATGTTCACTGAGCATCAGGATATTCAGGATGAATTATTAAGCAACAAAATAAAGTTTAAATGAACCTAAGGCCTTTTACCAGACATTAAGAAGGTTGC